GTTTAGGGTTATTTGATGCCCATTTACGGAGTTCAAAGTTTCCTAATTTGAGCAAGGTGATTAGATCTCTCTGAAGCGATAAAGCGCCCTCTAGGGAGCTAGATCCGCATCAAATATCGTCCATGAAAATGTTGTTAAGCAATACTTGGGAAGCTTCAGGAAATGTTTGACTTTCACGAGTGGCGAGTTCTCTAAGGGTTCTAATTGCTAAATAAGGACTTGAACTTATACCAAACGTAACAGTATTCAACCGGTATTCCTGTAAGGGTTCGCTGGGATGAAAGCGCCAAAGTAGTCTTTGGTAATCTCTATGAATTGGGTTTAGTTGGATTTGCAAAAAATGTTGCTTGATATCAGCTAGAAGCACGACAGAATAGAATCTAAATTTGAGTAGAATTTCACAAATATCATTTTGCAATTTAGGTCCCGTTAAAAGGGTTTCGTTTAGGCTTGTGCCGTTTGATCCTTTAACGGAGGGGTTAAAAACCACCCGGAGTTTTGTGGTTGATTTATCCAGACGAAGCACTCCATGATGCGGTAAATAGCAGCATAGATTTGCCCTAGATTCGGTTTTTGGGATTAAAGACATATGACCGTTTTTGAGGTATTCGCTCATAAAATCAGCATACAAGCTATAAAGACTAGGATTTTTTAAGAGTCGAGATTCCAGCGACATGAATAAACGATAGGCTATTGAATAGGTATCTCCCAGGTTAGGAGGGTCGATGTGACGAAATGGTAAATTGACTGTAAAACGACCAGATGTATTGGTTGTCTTTTGGTAAATTTCTTCACACCTTTTTTCTTCGGGCGATAGAAAAGTTTTGGGTTTGATTGCCTCTAATTCCCAGAATTTTCGGATACTTGAATCGAGAGATTGCTCACATGAGATGAAATATGAGCTGACATGGGGTTGAATATCTATATTTTGGGTTTGTCCCAAGAATACCCATCCAAAGATGGTTTCAAAGGCAGAAGGTTGACCTGGTGGTCCTTGAATCCTCCCTGTCCGAAGAATTTCGGTGAATATTTGTGCTCCTAATAGCATGTCTATGGGAGCAGGAATGTTGAATTGGTCATCAGCAAGCTTTAAGTTGGAAATGTGACTCCAAGTTGAAAAATCAATTTGCATTGAAGGCATATTTGCACAAAGTTTTGGCAGGATGAAAACTTGAATATGAAAAGTAGGTTGGGTTTGACCTAAAGGTCGAATGGTGCAAGTAGCTACGCCATTTGTAGATGACGAGGATTGATTTATTTCTAAAACCGGAATTGCATTTTTATTTCTTCGAATGCCTAGGCGATTAATACAAGAATCGCTAATTAAATTAATTTGGCTACCACTATCCAGAAGGGCTCTAACTGTTTGGTAATTGCCTCGAACATCGAGAACTTCGAGCTTTATGGTTGCCAAAAGTACTGTGGTTAGTGTCGACGGCGAAGTACAAAGATTGTTTGGATTAGGATCGATCGCGATGAGACTCATATTTCTTTGGATTTCATTTGGATTTGCTTCGATTTGACTTGAATGTTCTTGGATTGCATTAAAATTGCCTTGGTTTAAATTGGGATTCGTTTGGATTAGACTTGTATTCGCTAGGAATTGATTCGACACTTGGTTTTGATTCAAGGTAGAGTTTGGATTCGAGTAAACTAAATTGGAATTGTTCGAGTTTGAATTTGGGTTTGACGATATTTCAATGGATTGATTATAGGTTGGGTTTGGATTTTGGTGATAAGAATCAGTTATTTGGGGTAGGTGCAATAATGTGTGGTGTCTGTGTCGGCAAATTTTACAGTTGAAGGTACTTGTGCATTCTTGTAAATAGTGATTTGCGCGCAGACAGTTCACACATGTGTTTTGTTGTTTCACGTAGTTGAAACGTTCCGAAGGTGTTTTTGTAATAAATACTCCACATTGAGATAATGGGTGATATAAGTTGTTGCAAAGTTTGCATTTAGTTGAATTTTGATTTAATTGGGGTTGATTATTAGTTGGTTTATAGGCTGGAGCTGGTGTTCGTACCAACAAATTGGAAGGTGTATTCGATTTGTACTGGTTTTGGGAATAGGAATTATTCTTTTTGAACTGATAGTTTGAATTGTTATTTTTTGGAATTTGTTTTGATGTCGAGGGTTGCATATTTTCGCTTTGTGGGATGGTTTGCATTGTTTCTAGGGCTTTGCACTGATTAGTAAGAAATTGGATCAGATTTTGGTAGGTTGGAATTTCGGTAGTGCTAAACTTTAACTCGAAAGCGGTTCTTGTAGAAGTATCAATTTTTGACAATAAAATAGAAAATAAACAAAAACACCATGCATCCACCGGGAAGCCTAGATTCTTGAGTGCTGCAATATTCTCCACGAACGTGTCTACTAGCGATCTGAGATCTTTTGGTGCATTATTTTTTATTGAATTTGCATTATAAATTGAGTTCCAATAAGTGCTAGCCAAAAGTCGTTTGTTTTGATACCTTTCGGTTAGTGCATTCCATGCAATGTCGTAATTGCTGGATGTTAATTTGATTGAGTTAAGAATATTTAATGGTTCGCCCTCTAAACATGAAAGTAAATGTTGAAATTTTTTGATATCTGAATAGTTTGTATTATCGTGAACAAGTGACGTAAAAACATCAAAAAACGTTGGCCATTTCTTGAGGTTTCCGTTGAAGGTCGGTATTTTTAATGGTTCTAGTTCATCTCTATATGAATTATTGTTTACAATCGAGGGGGTGAAACCGGAATAATTTGCGCTAGGAAACATCGTAGAAAATATTGCCCTTGTTTCGTGATAAAATGAGTCAGTATCTTTTCGAATTTTATCTTGAGCATCAAATTCTGCGTCGCTATCTCCAAGAAGATCGATAATCTCATTGTGAATGGTTTTAAACTGATCATAGTGATCGTCTAGTGATTCATAGGACGCTTTAAAAACTAGCTTTACAGTATCATCGCTTTGAGATTTAATTGCTAAGTTGAAAGTTTCTATAATACGAGCGATTGATACTTTTCGTTGGTTTGTCAACTTTTTTGTTGCCATTTTGTACAATTATAACATACATATATAAATAAATTAAGTTGAAAACTCTGAGTAGATTGTTTATTTGCTAAGAATTGATTTTTTCCTTTTGAATATAGAAATAAAAATTATTACCTTTTAGCTATTATTAATCCCAAACAAATGCACAAAAGTACACCCAAAAACACAGCACTAATTCTTCCTTAATTTGTTTTACGTACGCGATAACCGAATAAAAGATTTGAATTGTTGAATTATTGAATTATTTATGCACCTTTGATTCTAATAAGCAGAGCAAGCCCCTGTGTTGAATTTATTCTTGCGAAAAACAAAATAAATGGAATCTCGTTTTTCTTACCAAAGGAATTTAAAGGTAAACGTAAACAAACTGTGTACCGAAAATTGGATAGAGTGAGACCTGAGTTGAAAAGAGCGCGGACGAATCGGACAGCGCGGACGACACCTAGCTTGAACCTTGACTATTTGAGATTTGAAAATGACGATAAAAAATTGAAATAATATTCGCGAGACCAAAATTATTTCTTTTTTGAAATTAATCGGGTCGTGGGACCAAAATAATGTTCACGAAAATTTGCGTTAGGTTTTCGAAAGTTTAAAGAGCAGCGGGACTGTAGCGCTAAATTCAATTTTGCCGCACAAATATTAATGGACATAAACCCGAGCCATACAAAGACAATGGAGGATTGGCACTTACTTGGTTTATGCTGGTTTTCGTCGATCCAGAGGAGCTCCTCGTGTCCAGAAAGTCTGCTTCTCAGCGACACACCGATACAACACAGTCTTAGAAATAAAAATAAGGAATTTTTGCCTTGAATTCGATAGGTTTTTTGATTTTGATAACGACCGAAAAAGCGGACGTGGTTTTAGAGACACGGCTTCGTACTGTCTCCTTCCTTCTCATAAATCACATATTTTTCACATACGCCGAGTCTGCGCGAGCGGTGCCAATTTTGATTTGAACTTGTATTGTTTTTAACGGTTTTTTCTTTCGTATTTTTGAATAAATATATAAAATAACAAAGTTGCATGAACAGAGCGGCTTGCGCAGATTTTGGCCCGCGAATGTGTATAACAATACTTCTCAAAAACGGAGGACTTCGGTCCAATGCGATACGGCTTATAGGAACTCTTTTCCACGGTCGGACAGCATTGGTTAAGACCCTCAACTCACGGGGCGGATGATAAGGCACGCGCGGCAATCACTTAAAAAACGGTACGGTAACGGACACCAAAACAAACGGCCTCTTGGTAAAAAGGGGACTGAGGGTCACGTAATCCTCTCGGTCATGTGCCGACATCAAGAGTATGCGCGGAACGGCCCCTGCTCGGGCGCCAAATATGTAGCGCTACTTTGGTTTTCTGGTAAGAAAGTGGTCCGTTAGGGCTTACTGGTAACTGAAGCGCTAGGTAAACCAGCTTTCTAAAGTTGGGATGCGGTGTCTAATCTAAATATGAACTAACATAAGAAATAACCAAAATGAGCCATAGTCTCTAATAACTACAGTTATTGGCGGATCTTTGAAAACTGAAATGATAAATGACAAATAATAACTCATTATAAAATAATCAATAAGTTCAGTAGTTATATCATGAAAAAAACTAGTTTTGCTGCTAAAATAGTATTTTGCTGGGAAAATTTAGGTGAAGGGTGCTTAAACAAATAGGTTGTATCCCAAAAACAATTAGATCTGAAAATGGTTCGAGTCAGTTCATTTCGTATTCTCTTAATAATAAAAGTTCTTCGAAGGGTAAATTTGGGACTTGCAGAGACACAAAGAACGAGTCGAAATACAATGGAAAGTCAAGAAAGAAAATAACGTTTGAAGCGATTTTTTGAATTTTATTCACTAAAAACCCTGAAATTATTGCTACCCATGGTCAAAGTTTACCGGTGATTAAATTTGAAGTGGGCATCTGATAAAGCTCCCAAATTATAATATAAACAATTAGATTGATTTTACAAAAACACAACAAGTACTTAGAGAATGTATTAGACAAAAGTTGCTGTTGATAATACGAAAATTATTATTTTCAAAAAATACAATTTTGTGTTTAATTTATGCAATAGCATGCATTTTAAGGTGATACTTATTTTTTCTTTATTGGAGTGGTAAGTTAACAACATAAAAACTTTTAACTAAATCATCTCATAACTATAGATATACTTAAATTCAAATAAAATGGGAATCATAATCTGGTTTCCTAAAGAAAGCACGGTTGGCTTCTATGACTTCCATGATAATATTGGTAAGATATATTTTTAAATAATTTAGGGTTTTAGCTGCGAGAAAGATTCCAGATAATCTCTTATTTGGTGCTGCAACCGCTGCCTATCAAATTGAAGGTGCCTGGAACGAGGATGGCAAAGGTGAAAGCATGTGGGATCGATTTGAACACGATAGAGGTTATTAATAATATTAATAAATAATTTTGAACCAATTAATTCTGAGAGCTTCTTCTCTGTTGTAGGTGGTGAAAATGGCGACATAACTTGTGACTCTTACCATAAATGGCAGGAAGATGTCGCCAACGCAAAACAATTGGGTTTGAATTTTTACAGGTAACTTTCCAGTGGTTCAAAAAACAACTTTCATTGTTAATTTTTATCTTTAGATTCTCTATAGCTTGGACTAGAATCCTGCCAAATGGAACACTGAATTCTATCAACCAAAAGGGGATCGATTATTATTTAAATTTAATTAAAGTGAGTATTGAACTTCAGAATTACTAAAACATTATACTTTATATTTTTAAGGCTCTAAAAGACGCTGGTATTGAACCAATGGTAACTATATATCACTGGGATATGCCCCAGCATCTCAACGAGCTAGGAGGGTTCCTTAATCCTCAATTTGCAGATTACTTTGGCGACTTTGCTAGGCTGGTGTACCAACTATATGGCTCTTATGTCAAGTACTGGTAAGTTGAAATAACTAAAGGATCAATAACCGCAACCATTGAACTAAACAAACACACTGGAACGGGCGCACTGCTTTATGCTAGTGAGGCAAATTTTGATGTATGCAACCAGCAATACGAAGGGATTTTTGTCTCGCTCGCACTCATTGCGATTAATGTAAAAGAGGAGCTTCTTCTTCCTAGCCTCAATGATCCAAACACTTCAAACAGCTGTTCTGAATCTTTAGCCGCCATAGTGCAGAGAGAAATGCAAATCCCTCTTGTTTGTTGTCCTTCCTGGCACAAATCCTTGCGTAGAAACAATTATGCAGCCGCCGTTCCAGTGCTTGTTTAGTTCATTGACCGCAACAAACAGAAAAATAGTTTTATTTTTGACATCCGACGAATAAGAAAAAAAATGCGGATACTAAACAAGATCTATTGAAAGTTATACATTTTATAAAACAGCCACCTCAACAAAATGGTTCAAAAATATACATACATTCTCTTTAACGGAGACTAGATATTTTTCCTCTTCTATTTAAAGGTTCTCATCACCGACCATAAGACGAAAATCTGATTTGCGAGGATAATCTCAAATTGCTTTTGATCTCGAGAAAGTTTTCCTATACAATTTTTGAAAACATAATCTCCATTAGTTGCTTCTAGATTACCAGTGATGTATTTCCCGATGGCTCCTACGTCATTGAGAATGCCGCCCTCAATCCAATAACAAGTATAACTTTTTATGTCTGACATAACTTCCTTGTATTTGAGGTTGACAGAACCAGAAATTTGTGCAAGAAGACTCTAACATGAGCTACTACTTTAATTCTAAATGAACCTATACGATTTGAGTATTGTCAGACGTTGACAAATCCGTCCAGAAGACTATTTCAAATATTGTCAATCAATGTTGTTATGAACAGTTTTTCTGTAAGCAACTTACACTTTTCTTTTCAGGATTACAATAAATGAACCGCTTTCCATCTGCCTTGGTGGTTATGGAAGTGGCCAAACTGCACCTGGACTAAAACTGGACGGAGATGGAAACTATCAGTGCGCTTATGTACTACTTAAGGCACACGCTAAAGCTTATCGGATTTATGACGAAGAATTTAAGTCGAAATATAACGGTAAGAATCAAAAGTCATGAAGAGAAATTTTTTTGAAGAAGGCTGAGTCGGAACAAGTGAAATGCTTAGATATGAAACGAAAAACTGACATGAAAATTGCCTTAAAAATAAATCGTTCTTAGGTGAAGTTGGAATATCACTAAACACAAACTGGTTCGAACCAGCCAAAGAAGATTCTAAAGAAGACTCTTTGGCGTGCGAAAGGATACTTCAATTTATGGTGAAGGCTATAAGGTGAAATAAGGCATTAATAATTACTAAACTTTTTTTTCTATAGTTTGGATGGTTTGCCAATCCAATTTCCAATGGAAACTGGCCACAAGTTATGATTGATAGAATTGCTAACAGAAGTGCCTTGGAAGGACTAGCAAGATCACGTTTACCAGAATTCACTCAAGAGGAAATCGAGTATATCAAAGGAACTTATGATTTTATTGGTTTTAATACGTAAGGCACTTACCTAATACTTTAATTAAAAAATCTCATATCGTTGTTGATAATTTCTAATATATTCTAGATACAAGGTATATAAAGCTGAAAATATAGATTACCCCATAGGCAATCCTAGTTACAACTATGACTCAGGAGTTTCATACGATACTGATGTTTTTTACTTTTATCCAGAAGGTTTTCGAAAGCTAATAAATTTTATAAACCATAAGTGAGTATCTGTAGTCTATTAGTAGAACTGAATAATATGGAATCCCATTTTTTTTCAAGCTATAATCCTAGCTCTATTATTGTTACCGAGAATGGACTTCAGACTGGGGACAGCTTGGAGGATCAGGACAGAATTGAATATCTAACCGTAATTGATTTATTTAGGCTTGATAAATTAAAATAATTTCCTACTTTTTCAGGGCTATATAGACAATCTTCTCGATGCTATTGAATTAGATGGTATCAACGTTGTTGGTTATACAGTTTGGAGTATTATGGATAACTTTGAATGGGGAACATACGCGTAAGAGTCAATAGTTTTATTTAATTTTTCAATAATTGGGTTTTGCTCTTTAGAAATAGATTTGGTTTGATCAGAACCGACTTTGAGGATGCGAACAGAACCAGAACATGGAAAGCTTCAGCCAAATGGTATCAAAATCTCATTGCTACGAGAGAACTTAAAAATGACACACAAAACACAAAATAGAAATTTTGGTTTATCGTTTATTCCTTTATAAAAATGGACAAAATACAGTAAATTCGGTAGGAAATAAAATTATCGATCTACCACGGGAATTATCAGGGGTTAATACCCACGGGCAATTGGTTTCTCTCGGGCCAGTATTTACACCCTCATAATTCCCTTGATACATAAATAACTATAATGAATTTAATTGTACAAAAATATTGTCAAAAAATGATAATGTTTGATGATAATTTGCGAATAATGCGAATTGACCCTTTTATCCAAGTAGATTTTTTTTAACGTTCCCATGTCGCCGTGCGCGAAATGATTCTCCAGTGTGCGAAATGCCTAGTTCGGGCATACGGAGTAGAAGCACTTTTTGTGCTTCAGCAATATTTACAAGCCTCACTACGTTCGGCTCGCAAACCTACTGCTTCAGCACAAACATTAAAGCTTCTACTCCTAATACTATCCTATAGAGTGAAAAATAACAGTTAGCTGTCACCGGATCATTTTTGGCGGCAGTGTTTTAGTTTTTGTGCTAATTTTCAATGTAAAATAAATTCCAAAGTTAATAAATTCAAATAACGAGAGTGTTTGTGTAATTTGAAACCCCTCATGTTATAAGTGGCGCCCAACGTGGGGCCTTCAATTTAAAGTTGAAGTTTAAAGTTTTATTTTTATCGTTTCGTTGTTTGGTGAGTTTTTGCACAGTTCTAGTATTATTGTCTCAAACTGCAACCTTCTCAAACACGGCTTGTCAATGTTGTTCGATGATTTTGCTGCTATGTGGTGGCTTGGGGTTGAAGACACTATTGCTTCTTGGAAAGATGCTATTGATTTATTGCGACTTACTTTTTGACCAAAAAAACCAGCTTACTGATTTATCGAGAATTATTTGCTAGTGAACAAAATTCTAAAACCCCTTCTGATATTTTTATATGTCATTCCCGATCTCTTTTAGCCCAGTTACCGCCCGGTACTCTTACTAAAAGTACGCGAATTGACATGATATACGGATTATTGAAGAAACGCATTCGGGAAAAACTTTCTCGCGATAAAATTAAGCCTTTTACCGAACTGCTCAAAGAGTGTAGGTTAGTCGAAGAGACGTTAGCTGATCATTATGAAAGTAAAGTGCTTTAATGACAAACCTGAAAAATATCTAAAGTGGGTATAGATTCTGTAAGTAGGTATAGAGGTCACACTGAAGAGCAATGTCGAAAAAAACAGGCCACTTCAGCATCAGCAAATCAATCCAGACCAACAACTGGCACGAATTTCAGTACTGTATCTCAAACTCCAGTTTCTTCCAGCACTTCTAAACAAATAACATGTTGTGGCTGTAACAGGCCAGGTTACACAAAATCCAACTGCCCTTCTTGCTCTAAGGCAGTCGCCTCACTAGACTTTTGTGCATTGGATGATGGTAAACTAAACCTCTCTCCACAGCCGCCTCCTGTACTGCTAATTTCTGTATTAGGTCTTCAGTGACATGGCCTTATAGACACAGCTGCTGAACAAAGTGCAAGGCTTTATTAGGAAAAAATGTTAATTTTATTGAAAGTAGAACTACGATTAAGTTGGCCGATGGAACTACAAAGGAATTAAATGTCAAGATTTTCAAGGTCAATGTACAGCTTGGGTACAGGAGTATTTCTACGACTTTCTTGGCTTTACCTAACGCTGAGAGAAACTTGTTAGGGATAAATTTTCTCCAGAACGCTAACTTAGCTATAAATATGGGTCAGCAAAACTGATAATTTGCTGATAATCCTCCAGAAAAGTATTTTTTGAAGTTTGAAGCTAAACACGATGTTCCAGCTAAAGTTGAAATACAATCCATAACATAACATTATTCAGACCAGATGATGTTAATGAACAGTGTTGCCAGATCTCACGATTATTCGTAAGATTACACGATTTTGGTCAGAATTTCACGATCTCACGAATGAGGTAGCAATTCTTACGAATTCTCTCTGTATTAATACAAATCAGTAATCAAAAGATAGGTTTAATCGAAAATATTCGAAATAAAAATCTACTATACAATATTTAGTTATGTTCCGCCGCTCCTGGTACATGCGCGCCCAAGAACACTTAACCTAATAGGACTATTTATTGGCGAAATTCCTATACCAATAGATGGCGCTAAATTACGCGAAAAATAGTAATATGTCTGCCGAACTCAGTGAACAACAAAGCCAGTTTTTTGAGGTTAGTTTTTGTTAAATTGTGTTTTATGGTGTTTTTGTGATTTATATAACAGAAACAATACATAAAATAATTAATATTCTGTAGAAAATTGAAAACTTCCAGAAACAATGCCGGGGGCCAAATGCAAACTTGCTTTGTTGTTCACTGAGTTTTGAGTAGCAAAGTTGATCATAGATGTCGCCTACTTCGGGGCCTTGAGCGAATTGAAAGTGTCTGCCTTCCAAATCCACGAGACCCCACTATTTGTGATGTCAGCTGCAGACCTCAACTCTTGGCAGAAAATGCAAGGCATTATCCGGGTCCAAAAAACGAATTCATAAACGTTGAAATCACCTTTCCTGAATTTAAAATGGGCTAAAAAATTAACTCACAAGTACGAGGTCTGCGGGTGACGTCAACACTATCAGCTGCTGATAGTAGTGACGTCACTCGCAGACCAGCTGCCGACATGGCTGTCGAAAATTGGCGAACGTACGCCTTGTTAGGATAATCAAAACGAGGTTCAGCTCCCAGAAACACCTGCTAAAAAACGGAAAAAGCTAGGGTACAAGATTTAATAATAAAATGTTTATTTCTTATGGATGTAAAATCATGTTTACTTTTTACTTTATCAAAATTCTATAAAAGAACATTGTTGTGCTTCATTTTCATATTATTTAAGCAATTTTTAGTTTCACGATTTTTCATTCTCGATACTCACGAATTTTTTTTTAATTTCATCTGGCAACACTGTTAATGAACACAAACTTATATCGGATTTAATTGATGATTACCAAGATATTTTCGCTCTAGGGGGAGAGCCAACTCCCAATGCTGAACCTACCATTGATAATGGCACGCATGCACCAACATCGGTTCCACCCTATCGTAGGACCCCTGCTAATAAGGAGAAGCTTGAACAAGAGTTGGACAAACTACTTGTAAATGGTGTCATAGAAGAGTGACAGTCAGCCTGGTTTGCCCCAGCTGTACTGGTACCAAAAAAAAGGTGTTATGCGTCTATGCATAGATTACCGTGCTTTGAACCAAACAAGCACCCCTGAGTATTACCCATTAACACGGATGGATAACCTACTTCATGCTACTAAAAAGACCTTTTACATGTCAATCCTGGATCTTCGTTCAGGGCACCATCCAGTGAAAGTGCGTGCAATAGATCTCATTAAAACATCTTTCGTTTCTCCATTTGGGACTTCCTTATATTTGGTCATGCCATTCGGATTGCGGAACGCGCCTGCTATGTTCCAAAGACTGATCGATTGATTCCGTGGTGGACTTCCTGACATTCTAATATTGGTATACTTGGATGATATTTTTGTGCTATCAGAGACATTTGAAAAACATTTACTGGACCTGAAGTGTATTTGTGACCGGTTAAGACTATTCAAGTCATGCGCGAACCGCACGAAATGCACCTTTGCCAACCAGCAACTTAGATACCGAGGACATATGATGACCAGTAGCGGTATTCAACTTGATCCAGAGAAGACTGCGGCCCTAGACAGGATGTCGCCTCCACAAAATGTCGACCAGATACAGTCCTTCTTACAAAGTTGCTCTTGGTACAGATGATTTATTGACAAGTTTGCTGATATTTCCAGGCCCTTAAGCAATCTTCTGAAGAAAACTTCGATATGAAAATGGAAATCTGGGGAAAAACACAAGCTTATGAGACATTGAAAAATGCTTTTATTTCCTACTGAACTATTATAACTAAATATATATTGTTGAAGAATCTTTATTAAATTTATGTTAGCGTGTAATTAATTATTAATTAACGTTGGTTTAACTAAAGTTGGCATCTTATTGTTGGTGACAATATTTTTGAAATTGAAGATTATTATTCGCGCGCATAGCATTCATTATTTTTGATAATATGCACAAGTTTGAATGGTAAAACTCACATACGTCACCAGCGCAAAAACCTGTACCTTTTCGGTACTACATACGGGTCCTAAAAATAGTAAAATCAGTATCATTGAACCCGAACGACAGCGAACCAGAAAGTACCGTCGCGTATGAAGTCGTGCAACTTTTCTTGCCTTTATTAACTTTAATTTGTGGTGACAAAATAACTTTCGGCTTTGGGATTTTCGAAATTACTGAAAAAAACTTTACTAACTCAACTATTGTGCTGGGTGGATTGAGCAACCCAAAGGAAGTGTTCAGAGGGCCCTCTTATTCAAGAATTTAGTGTTACGCTTCAAGATAGGTGAGTGAGTTCTTATTAAAATCAAATTGTGTGCATATCGCGATCGATTTGATTACCCCAATTATACAGTCCACTTATTATTTTCATATTTCCTGCACATATATAATACCTTGGTTACGATAATCATAAACAGGGTCTTAATTCCCAAGGGAGTTAAAGAATTTCATAACTCCCGCGGGGGAGTTAAGGATATCATAACTCCCAAGGGAGTTAAGGATTTCCATAACTCCCGCTTTTACCTTGAATAGGTGAAATTTTTACAAAAAATAAAAATTTTGATTTATGGTTTATTCCTTTATAAAAATGGACAAAATACAGTAAATTCAGTAGGAAATAAAATTATCTATGTACCACAAGAATTATCAGGTGTTAATACCCACGGGCAATTGTTCTCCCTCGGGCGGAAGGCCCTCGGGACACAAACTTTGCCCTGGGGTATTACCACCCTCATAATTACCTTGATATATAAATAACTATTATTTCCTACTGAACTATTATAACCTTATAATACCTTGGTTACGATAATCATAAACAGGGTCTTAACTCCCAAGGGAGTTAAAGGATTTCATAACTCCCGCGGGGGAGTTAAGGATTTCCATAACTCCCGCTTTTACCTTGAATAGGTGAAACTGTTCATGTTATGTTATGATTCATTTATATTTTTTGGGTTTTTGTTTCAGGTTATATTCTGTGAGTAAGTATGAACAAATGATGTTTTAAGGAATAAAAGCAACAGTTGATTGAAATAAAATATTTCTAGATTGTTGTTAGTTGTTTTCTTTTATTAATTGTACATAAAATTACGTAAATCTGAAATTTGCTACTGCATGAGTTTTTAATGTATGTTACTACGATATTCCTTGATAAAACATTGAATTAAAATAAACAACATATTATTTTTCACTTTTCTAAAGAATTATTTGCAGTTATACATCCAAAGTTCTAGTAGCCGTAACATTTTGGTACCATTTGGCCGATTGTTTCCATGTCCTAGTTCTATTAGGACTATCAAAGTCGGTTCGAATAATACCAAACCGTTTCCTAAAAGTCAGTTATTGAAAAATTAATATAATTTCAACTTATAAAATAGCATTCATCATGCTGCGACTGACCAAATTAAGCTTATGAACATTATTAATAAATAAGTTGGTATGTTACTTACTCATAAGATCCCCATTCAAAATTGTCCATTAGGGACCAGACGGAGTAACCAAAAACATTGACTCTATCTTCTAGCACAGCATCTAGCAAATTATCCATATAGTCCTATAAATAATAAAATCATAAGCTCCGAAAATATTTTGAATTCGGTTTAAAACCCACCCTTATTAAACTTATTCTGCCTTGATCATCCAGAATATCTCCAGTCATTTTTCCATTTTCAGTTATTAGAATACCTCTAGGTCGGTATCTGTGAAAATGTTAAAAATCAAGAATGATAATTCAATTTAGGTAAATATTTTTTGATATACTTTTTGTGAATGTGGTTGACTGAATCTCTAATTCCTCTAGGGTGATAATAATCTGGGTCATTGACTACCACAATTCCTATATCTGAAGTGTAAGCAGGTAGCCCGATAGTAGGTTCTGGACCGTATTTCACTTGTCCCACATTATATCTGAAAAAGTTTTTGAAATCTTCTTCTCAAAAATAGAAAGTGTTTCTACTTACGTGTTGAGACCAAAAAAATCGGAAGTCCCATTGATATAGTCAATTTCCTCTTGAGTAAACTCTGGTAATCTGGATCTAGAAAAACCTTCAAGTTTACTTCTGTAAGCGATCCGGTCTATCATTACTTGCGGCCAGTTTCCCAAATAGACTGGATTTGCCCACCAACCAAGCTATAAAAGAAAAACAGTACTGGTATACAATCTATACTATTATTTATAAAACAGGGTCTTCATAATATCGTTTGTTGGCAACTCATATTCCATATTTCTTTAGACTCGTTATTTGACGATCTTTTCTTGGTTTTGCAGATTATAATTCGCTAACAGAGGTTTAATCATACCCATATTGAGCTGGTGGTCTTTTGTTTCTGGATTTCATAACAAAATTTTTGTCAATCTCTCTTTTGTAAGAAGAAGGAATTTGTCCTGGAATTGATGATGCTTTCGAGAAAGTACCTGGAGAAGTTATAGTTGACGAAGACGGAGAATTAAGTGAATGCGATCCAGTCGATCTAACCATCGAGAATAAGCATGTATAATAACCAGCTTCATTTTGCACTCAAAAGTACCAGCAAAATGGATGAGGAGTCTTGACCAAGGTTCAGGTAGTGTATTTCAACAATATAATGCATAGATTTTAATAAAATTGCTTCAATATTTGTCAATGCTGGGAAAGTAGACATGATTATGTGCACAAGATTGCATTGCTGATATTCCAGGATGTCTAACATGAAGTTTCAAAATTTTTGGAATACAAACACGGTGTTTCCATAAATGACATCATTTCTTCCAAAATTTTGGATTTCTCCAGCCAGTGAGTTTGTACGCATTTGACTTGAGACAAAAAAATATGTTTTTCACTTTCTACTACTTTTAATTGAGTTTTGGTAACTGGTAAATTGTGAACACGAACACGCGATGAATAAACTCTTCTTGAGTCCTTGGTGAACATCATTGTTTTTCTGAAAACTTTCCGATGTTGATAAAGGAAGTCTTGATGGTTGAAGTTGTTTACATAAGAATTCTCATTGGAGCAGATGCCAACGCCCATCACACCGCATGGAATAGTAGCGACGTAAACCAACGCGATAAGTACCTACTTGACTTCATTATGTCTAATAACTTAGTCATTTTGAATCGAGGAACTACACCTACTTTTCTAACAAAAAATAGGCAAGAACGTATTGATGTAACTCTGGCGTCTCGGAATAAACTCTCAAATATGTAACTGGAGGGTAGACGATGAACCGAGGGTCCGGATCATAGGTATATTCAAATGGAAATCAAACATATTTGATAAACCAGAGCGTGTATATTGTATATCGCAACCCTCGTAATACTGTCTGGGAGAAATACCGACAGGCCTAAAACTTAACCTGATTAACATTGAAAGGGTAAATGAAACAAGAACAAATATAAAGAAGGTATACCTGCAATTGCAGGAAGCTATCCAAACCTCATATCATGAAAACTGCGCGGAATTGAGGCAAACACCCGCAAACAAAATTGGTGGAATGCAAGCCTCGAAATACTCAGGAAAAATACACAAAAGCTTTCAAATAAAGGAAAGAGAATAGGAAACTGAAAAGCAAATTAGCAAACCCTAACGGAATACAACAAGAAAATCCGGAAAGCAAAAATAGAATCCTGGAAAAAGTTATGCAGCGAAGTTGAAAACACTTCCGAAAGAGCCAGTTTCCAGAAAATTCTAGCCAAGAGTCCGATAGAACCGACGGGAACCATTGAAATGCCTGACGAGAACTTTACAGAAAATGAGGAAGAAACTTAAGTTCACTTCTTCAAACCCATTTTCAAGACTCCACCGAAGTGACCCCTGATAGCAGAAACCCATCAAGCCATTCCGCTTTCCGTAATGGAGCGAAAAATGAGGACTGGGAACTTACGATGCGAGCGGTAGCTTACGATGGCATAAAATTGGCAATAAGCTTATTTGGCAGCTTCAAATCACCGGGGGAAGATGATTAATACCAGTAGATACTCCTACAAGAGGCGGTGGACCTTGTAGCACCACACCTCTGCAGGCTGTGCAGAGCCATCCTGGCAACAGGCTATATTCCTGGGTCCTGGAGAAAAGTGAGAGACTAAACCAGAGAGAAGAAGGTTGTCTGCCATTGTTCAATATTCAATTTTTATTTTGTTTTAAACTGATTATTCAATTCAATATGTGATTATTTAGTGTGTCATAAGAAGCATTCACAGGTCAGTTGAATAAATGTTATTTTGTTTTTGAGAGTTCAATTTATACAAGTATTATGTTTTCATTTTTATTTATTTTTTTTTGTTTGTTTAAAAGATTTTTTATAACATGTGCATTGTTCATGTATTTTACAAAAATCTTTTCATGCTGTAAACAACGCAGATAAACAGTAAATTAATAAAACCTAAGAAATTATGTGCTGTCTTTTGTGCTGGGATTTTAATTTTTGGTATTCAGAGCGTACATTAGGGTCTTGTTCAATCTAATAACATTTTCCTACCCTGACGAGCGAATATCCTGGTATACAAATTGAAAAATCAATCTAAAGATATTGGCTCAAAAACAACTATACCTGAGTAGCATCCCGTATGGGACTTCAATACCTGCTAGTGAAACTGGCTAACTAACCAAAAGCTCTTCAGTATTGAATATAGGTAGTGTTGATTGAATGTAGTGTGTGGAATTAAAATTTTAGCACAAGGACAGAGACGGTACCGAATTTAAACTTTTATTGATTATTGACTCACAATTATTTATTAAAATGACACAGTATGTTTTGATTTTTGAGGAATGTTAGATCGAGGGTTTCTCTGACGTGCACTTCCCCCTCGTTAGTTCCAGGTCAAGAACGGTACGATTTATTTTAATAATAAACTAGACGTTTCACAAATTTTTCGTTTATTCTGCATATCACAACTTCCCTTAAATTTCCCTAATATTTGCTATTGTCGGGCGCATGTTATTTCGTTTCTCAGAAGATTTGTTGAAAGAAAATATAATAAAAATGCAAACCGTTCAATCTTGCTCTGAACGAACCCGGGTATGTTAAACTACAATTGGTTTTAGATAATGTAGTGAATATCTTAAAAGTTACAAAGAGTAAAGTTGTTTGAGTTAATTAGTGAAGTGTAATAGTTATTTACCTAACAAATGCGGAAAGTGATACTTTACCGCACGCAACGCTTCGCTTACCTATGAGCATCTACATCTCCAAAAAAAGGCTTTAATAAAATTAATTAATGAATCAGATTAATTAATGAAATTAGATTAGATTTAGAAATGATCAAAAATCCATTTTCTGAAAAAGAAAGGATTTTTAATCATAAATACCGAAGTCTACTTTACCGCATACTATGCGGTAAAGTTAACTTTACCGCACACTTTGCAGCCCACTTTACCGCATACTATGCGGTAAAGTTAATTTTACCGCACACTTTGCGGTAAAGTAACTTTACCGCATAGTGTGCAGTAAAGTGCTACTTTCCATTCGCAAATAAGTGCGGTAGAGTGCACTTTACCGCACGCTCGTAGGTAAAGTAATTAGTGTCAGAGTGTGTAGTAGCGTGGAATAAATTATTGTTGTGTTATTTGGACTCTGATTTTGGAATAAATGAACCCAAAATTTCTGTCACACGCCCCAGAGCCGTGACATTGGTGTCAGAACTGGTATGTCACTCGGGGACTGCAAAGTGAAATTCGATTGAAGAATAGAGGGGAGACTGGTATAGTGTGGACCATGTGTGGAACATGTGTGGACACTAAGTGAACCCTAGTTGTATTTCTTTCAAGAGTCTAGAACACTAGAGCTACTCGCGCTCCGGTGTTAGTCGACCCCGATTTGAATGGAATAGATGCGCTGACTTTCATGCATTATGATTGGATTCGAGCTTGAGCACTCAGGTGCAACAAACACTTTTTGGAAGGAATAAGCGCATAACGCCCCAGAGCTGTTCCGGAGTTCCTCCTGGGTGTGAAAGGTATACAACTACTGGGATAGTTAGTCAGTGCAAGCAGTGACAATCACCAAAAGAGACAACCGATCGTGTAAATTACCCTGGATGTGACTGAATATAGTTGAAATCACGATAGAAAGTGAATTTGACAGTTCACGTCGACATTTCTAGTAACTTTTTCTTTTGGTTGCCAGCATGCATCGATGCTTCGATTTTGTCAGTAAGGATAAACGACAGGGTCGTATTTAGAAAAGTGATATTCATTTCGGAATAAAAATTTATTTTCAATTTCTTTAAAGGAAGTAAAGTTACTAAAATCCAAAAATCCAAAAATTAGAGTCACCACTGATAAAAAGAGTAAACACTTGAATCCAAACTAAAACCAGGTTTGAAACGCAACACAGAAAAACAAAGGCACCAGAACACTATATAAAAAATCAAAAAATCGATTGTAAATATTACAAACCAAAAAAATCCAAAAACAGCAAAAAACTGAAACGATTTAACAAAAAAATCGTAATTCAAAATTCAAAGACCCGAATCTGATATTTTTATATGTCAAATCGAAATGCCATGTATCACTATTTGATAGTTGACTGAAAAAGGGACAGATCTGGGGATTTTATTTACTTTTAACTGGTGAAAATAATGGTCAAAATTCAAACTCTATCGTGAATTCAACTATACTAGTAAAGCCCCTAAACTAAGATCTCGGGTGCCCATGAAACAGAACAACGTCGGTCTCCCATTTGAAAGAATAGCGATAGATGTTGCCGGACCGTTCCCTGGGTCAGAGCGTGGTAACAAATGCATCATGGTTATCGTGGATTACTTGCCTGCCCTAGGGTTAATATTTAAAAAAAAAGGAATTCTGAAATAATATGCCTTATTCTGAAGACAATAAAATCGAGAACTTTTAACAATAATTTGTACGTTTGATGAACGTACTATGAAATTTTCGAAATTTTGAAGCATAAATTAACCATTAGTTTGTAACTTGACAAGAAAAGTAAGGTTTAAACCGAAATAATTTAATAATTACCATTATTGTTAGAAAGTTTTTACAGGTAATGACCAACGTGAATTCAGGGACACAACGGTCCCTGTTTGGGAATCGACCCACTGAGCAGTGGACTCAGGCTTCCCGTGCCAATCCTTGACGCGTTTCGTCCTTGTTAGGACTCATCAGAAGGACATAGGCTGAAGCTCCCTGTCCAAGCAAAATTGAACTTCGTTGACCAGTCAGAAACAACTACTCCGAGGACAAATACCCCTACCGGCGTTGAACTACACTGATTGGTCTGAGCTTTCGTTGGCAATGAAAATTGTTAGAAAGTTTTTACAGGTAATGACCAACGTGAATTCAGGGACACAACGGTCCCTGTTTGGGAATCGATCCACTGAGCAGTGGACTCAGGCTTCCCGTGCCAATCCTTGACGCGTTTCGTCCTTGTTAGGACTCATCAGAAGGACATAGGCTGAAGCTCCCTGTCCAAGCAAAATTGAACTTCGTTGACCAGTCAGAAACAATTACTCCGAGGGCAAATACCCCTACCGGCGTTGAACTACACTGATTGAAAGCTCAGACCAATCAATCATAGTGGGTCGATTCCCAAACAGGGACCGTTGTGTCCCTGAATTCACGTTGGTCATTACCTGTAAAAACTTTCTAACAATTTTCATTGCCAACGAAAGCTCAGACCAATCAGTGTAGTTCAACGCCGGTAGGGGTATTTGCCCTCGGAGTAGTTGTTTCTGACTGGTCAACGAAATTACCATTATTGTTTCAATAATTTTCATTGCTGATATTTATGTAAGTGTGTCAACTTATAATTCAAATAATGACATTGTGTCACTTTGTGAAACTTTCTAAACATAAAAGCGTGTGCAAAAATGCACTTTTCCGCACGCTCGTAGAAAAAATTATTGTGTTAGGTTAAGCACATAGTGGAGCGACGAGCAAAGTAGTGAGCAGTGAGGAGAGCAAAGCAGCGAAAACTAACACACGAGATTAAATTGTTTGGCATATAGTGAAGAGCAGTGCGGAGATTTAGCAGCGCTGTTAATATCGAGCAAAGCGACGCTTTCAAGCAAGTTTGATTTTTCTACTTTGCTCGTTTGTCTCTGTGTTGTAAAAATAGACGTTGAACAATTAACAAGTAGTATTTTTGTTAAAAATCCATTGTGGAACCAAAGATGAGATACCCACCAACATCATAACCGATACCTATATATTAGATAAGTTGTAGGATGATGTAGCAAGAAAAATGAAGTCAACAATCAAGTGAAAAATGAATTTTATTATTAATTGATTGCTGCTGGACCAATTGGGATTATGGTAAAGTTAGTCCATTTTTTCACCAATTTTTGTTCTATTTTCTCCAAAATGTAATCAAAAGTTTTAATAATCATTAAAAGATAAGATTGAAATTTTTCTGGATGTTACCGTAATTCCTCATATAAATGGTGATATACCAAAATTTTTAAAGACGTTTCGGTTAAAACCAAATCATTCATTTTTATCTTTTTCACTCGAGTATTAACTCGCTACTATGTGCATACAATTCTTTCATCCACTCTCTGCTCAATCGATGCTCTGCTCTCCGCGCTGCCCGCTGCTCTGCTCGCCGCTCCACTATGTGCTTAGCCTTAATTGGACTTTGATTTAGGAATAAATGAACACAAGATTTCTGTCACGCACGCCATAGCCGTGACAGCACCTATTCCTCCCGCGTTTTCGCAGATCCAAATTACGCTAAATTTTTTGAAAAATTATAGAATGTTTTTCTTCTTAGCAAATTTCTTTCGTGATACAATTCGGCATTATGATTGCACCACATTATCAACCTTTCTATAATACCGATAAATACGTCATACATATCTTGACACTTGTAAGTATTTTTAATTGGACATATCAACGATTAATATTACCTACTGTTATCATAACTTTATGTTTTTTTTATTTCTAGCGTCATGGTATGACTTGACTGAAAACAATTTAAAACAATGTTTTGTACTATTTTCCGATTTTAAGGCAATCATATGTTTTTTATAGTTTTTTTATTGAAAAGAAGCAAATAGTTATTTATGCCACTAGTATCAATGATTTTTTTTTTTATTAGAGATTTTTTGGACGAGCTGCAAGCGAGTGATAGAAACGCCAGTGAGTCAGAAAAAAACAAGAAACTCGTAAAATACTCGTAAAAACTAAAAAAGAAGTATACTTCACAGGCAAGTGTGTAAAGTTCAACTTCACGCACGGTAGTAGAAAAAGCAATTGTTTATTTTTCAAAACGAATTCCAGGGTCAAAATAACGAACATTTTTGATAAAAATGACTGGTACTGAGTTTTTAAAGCAGAAACGATGATTATTTACGTAAGCTGCATATCGTTAAAAAGCTACTGAATAGCGCTTTGAATTTTAATTTAAAAAAAAATTAGGTCCAGGTGAAATATATTTGTTTATGTTTCTTACCGCAAATTCTTGATATCTTCTCTGAGCTTCCAGATCCTGACTACTATTAGTCAACGGCTCCGCCCAATCGAAATTAATGACTAGACCAACTTGACCTGAAAATAATTCCCCTCATCAGTCTGTGGTAAAATGGGTACCAAAAACAGATAAGTAAAATAACTCTTACCATTATATTTTTCCCTAAATTCTTCGTCGTAAATTCTGTAAGCCTTGGCATGAGCTTTCAGCAAAACGTAACCACATTGATAGACCCCGTCGCCTATTAAGTTTAATCCAGGAGCCATAAAGCCCAAACCATAGCCTCCGAGACATATCATGAAAGGTTCATTAATTGTTAACCTCAATATAAAGAGAAAAGTTAATAGCAATTTTTAAATAAATTATGAATACATTCGATAAGCAAATTTAACCTGCCAGTCAAAAGATTGTATCGTATCAAGGAGTTATTTTAAAAGGTAGTAATTAACCCATGAAAATAATTTAAAAAAAAAAACTTGAGAATTTCCAGTGATTATTTACATTTTTAGATATTTAATTATTTTGAAGATTTTTCCCAAGTGAATGAAATATGGTTAAAATATCGGAAATTTTTGCCTACTAAGTTTCACAGTTATTAAAATGCGTAGGTATACTGCTTGAATATAATCCTTACCAATATTTAACATAAGGTGCATATAGTTCAAAGACTAATCTGGCATAATCCCCAAAATAGTCAACAAATTGGGGATTGAGGAAGCCTCCAAGCTCGTGAACATGCTGAGGCATGTCCCAGTGGTATATAGTTACAACGGGTTCAATGTTTTCTGCTTTGAGAGCCTACAATAATTTGAACATTAGGTTTTTTGTTTAGAATTAAAAATCGGAGTTACTTTTATTAAATTCAGGTAATAGTCAATACCCTCCTGGTTGATATTATTCAAAGTTCCACTGGGGAGGATACGGGACCAAGCAATTGAGAATCTAAAAACATGATTCTTTAATTTTTAATAAGATCCCAAAATTCTATTAGTCCAATCAAATTCGTTAACATACTCACACTAGAGAAAAAACAAAAAATACTCGTTAAAATCAAATTGGAAAATACTGAAAATAGGGCTTATATGCGAAAAGTTCTTGCCTGTAAAAATCCAATCCAAGAGATTTAACATTTGCTATATCCTCTCTCCATTTGTGATAAGAGTCGCATGCAATGTCTCCATTTTCAGAAGCATCTAAATTCAATTAGAAATTATGCTTATTTAACATGAAATCATCAGATAGTCTTACTTTTGTCATGTAGGTAAGTATCCCATAGGCTGGGCCCTTTTCCATCTTCATTCCAACCACCTTCTATTTGAAAAGCCGCTGAAGAAGCTCCAAGAAGAAAAGTGTCTGGAATTTTTTTACCAGCAAGTGAACTAAAAAATAATTTTTTAAAATTTGTTTAGGATTTAGGTACATTGCTCGAGTTACTTAGTTATTAAAAATGCAACGCAAACTAGCCACTTCAACATTATGAGCTTACAATGGTATTTAGGAATTATCGCAATATAATTTATTATTATTAACTATGAAACAGGGACGGCATTAAAATATTGATTATTTACTACAGTGTCACACTATGAACCCAGTCTATTTCGTTTAAATAGATCGATAGTGGTTATTTTTGAATTGGATAATCTCATCCAGGTCATGGTGATGCCATTTGTAAGAGTTGTTTAGTAAAAATAGTTAGGTCAGGGCTGAAAAATATTGTTTAATAATAATGTACAAATCTTCCGCCTTTTCCAATAAAAATTTATAATATGTAATATTTTGTTTTTGATAATATATGTTATATGAACAATTCTGGAAACTGTCTTAATAATGCGAATCCACCCATAATATAGTAAAGGAAACAAAGGGTGTTCCAGTAAGAGGTTCCGAATGTTTTTTTTCAATTCAAGCGAAAAGCAAATTAGGAAACATTCAATACTTTATAGTAATAAGTAACATGATCGTTCACAATTATACGTGAAACACAATATCCAACAAATGGCCACAGCACACAAATCTTTTGCCAAAATTTTCGATCACATCTGTGCATATTTCTAGTGGTATCTCATGATTCACGAATAATGCGCCGAATCTCATCTTCTAACTTTTGAATTGTTTGTGGATTGTTGATATACGCTTTACTTTTTCAACAAGACGCAACATGTCACTCAGCAAGAGAAACCATTGAGTTATTGCAAACACGGTTTGAAGGTAAACTTCTTTGAACAAATGGGGATGCTAATTGACCGCCTAGATCTTGCAATCTAACGTCACTAGACTTGTTTTTATGGGGTTGCATCGAAATTAAAGCGTATGTGAACAATCCCCGAACAATTCAAGAGTTGAAAGATGAGATTCGGCGTGAGATATCACCGGAAATGTGTACAGATGTGATCGAAAATTTTGGCAAAAGAATTGTGTGCTGTGAGAGGAGTCGCGGTGGCCATTTGTTGGATATTGTATTTCACGTATAATTGTTAACGATCGTGTAACTTATTGCTATAAAGTATTTAATGTTTCCTAGTTTGCTTTTCGTTTGAATTGAAATAAACATTCGGAACCTCTTATTGGAACACCCTATATATCCAATAAACTATTTTATAGGAGTGCAATCTGAATATGTATATAGTGGGTACGACAGAGGAGGTTTTTCCCATTTAATATTAATCTATTCTATTTTTTTACATGTTTCTTACCATCGGCCTAAATTTCCGCAGTCAGATTCCGAGCAAACATTCTACGGTCCATCCTTTACCTGCATGGATTCGAAAGGCACCTTTAACTTAAACCTGACTTTAACTTGGGTCGAACCTTAGTGAAATTTTGGTGAAACTTGGATGATATCTGAGTAAATTTTAGGTTATACCTAAGTTCAAAGCTGGGATACTTATAAATTTGTGCGTGAGACTCTAGCTCGAGCAAATAAATTTTGAAAATTGCTCACTTCCAATGAGGGACTCCAGATCTTGCTGCAAAGTTTATATTTCTGAAGTAAAGCAGAAAAAAGATGAATTTATTTCTAGATAGAAGAGGTAAAGAGCTAAATTTGCAAATCTATAATTTAGCTCAAGACATTCAATTTCTATTGATCATTAGCGAACCCACTATGAGTCCTCCTTTGTTCCGTTGAATACAAGTATTTTGTGTTTGGATGTGTTTATATAGCACCAGCATCTTACATTGATGTATACATGAATCATTGACAGGCTGAGAAAAATATTGTGATGAAATAGTAATGATACGATTGTTATTGTTGGGTATTATAACCTTCCAAATTTAATGTGGAATCATGATGGTGTACGTAAGCAGGGGTTGTAATAGCGATAGGCAAGTTTGATTGTGTAATGAGTTTTATTCTCGGGACTGTCTCAGTATAATTATGTTTCCAACACAGTGAATAATTCAATTTTGGATCTCTGGTATTCTAACCTCTACCTATATGTCTGTGTCAGAATGCGATTCTTGTGGTAACTACCATCCTCCGCTTGAATCAATTTTGTTTGTTTTTGATATTTGATATACCAGTACCTATGTTAATATTGAAAATGAAATTGGATATAACTTCAGTAAGGCGGATTATGGTGGTTTAAACAAATATTTATTGGATTATAACTGAATAGAACTGTAGTATTCTCTTAAGAGTTTGAATGATATCTATTGTTAATAGATTTTCTGATATATTGTCAAAGGCTGTGGACAGACATGGATAATTGAACTTCAATAAGCGGAAGATAACATCGTGATGGCCAATATAGAGAAAGAACTTCAGGAAATTATCAATGCATCCAACCAGGCATACAGGAGAATCGGCATATACTTTAACGAGACCCAGATTCCACACCAACCCGCACCATGCAACATCCTTGGGCTCCTCACAAGTCAACAGAAAGGAAATTTTGGAGAAGGCACCTCTACACTCGTGCCAATATGCATACAGAGCAGGCAGATCGACAGAGACAGCGCTCTATCAACTTACAGAAATCATCCAAAAAACCCTTAAGGAAAAAGAAACGGCCATATGTGCCTTCCTGGATATATCCGGGGCTTTTAATAACATGTCCCATGGGGCGGTAAAAATTGCTCTGGAGAGGAGAGGAGTGGATAAAACCATAGTCCGGTGGGTCTGTGAAATGCTGACTACGAGAACAGCTGAGACAAGTGCGGGTGAACAAACCACTAGCATCAGAACCACTCGTGGTACACCTCAAGGGGGAGTAACCTCACCCCTGTTGTGAAGCCTGGTAGTTGATGAACTCCTGTGCAGACTGACAAATCAGGGTCTAACTTGATATTGTCATTATTGCCAAAGGCAAGTTTGAGGGCACACTATACGACCTCATACAAAAAGGCCTAAGTACTACCGAGGAATGGTGCACAACGGTGGGGCTGAGCATCAACTCAGCAAAAACCACTATTGTACCATTTACACTTAGAAGGAAAATTCAACTTACTAGGGAAATTCACCTAAGTGGAGAGGTTGTAAATCAAGTAAACGAAGTCAAATATCTGGGCGTAACACTGGATAGTAAACTTCTATGGAAAAAACACCTAGAAGCCATTGTTAACAAAACCACTAAAGCCATTATGGTGTGCAGAAACTTGGCGGGTAAAAACTGGGGATGTACACCAAAAATACTGCGGTGGATGTACATTATGATGGTAAAACCCATAATCACATATGGGGCAGCAGTTTGGTATGGCATAGCAGAACAAAGCACTACAAGGCGAGCACTTGATAAATTGCAAAGACTGGCAAGTGTATGTATTACAGGAGCCATTGGAACATGTCCAGCAGCAGCGTTGAACGTCATACTTGACCTCACACCTTTGCACTTGTCGGTGAAGGGAGCTGCAGAAAGGGCTATGTTTAGACTCGCTAGGAATAGGACCGAGGCTAAGGACATCATCGATCAAGGAGCATGGTCATCCCAGACACGGTATATTTCCTTATTCTATCTTCCTGAAGACGATATAACCAAAGAATATCACTTTGAGAGAAACTTCCTCACACGGATTGATAATAAAAGCGACTGGGTAAGCGGCAAGATCACCGAATCTCTCAAAGAAAACACCATTAAATGGTACACAGATGGTTCGAAAACCGACAAAGGATCAGGAGCTGGAGTATTTGGGCCTCGCACCAAATATTTTGAGTCACTGGGTAAATACACCAGTGTCTTTCAGGCGGAAATACACGCCATTGACAGATGTGCTCAAATGATCCTGAACAGGAACTATCTCAAGCAAGATATTGCAATATTCACCGACAGTCAATCGGCCATAATGGCACTGAGTTCATATGTCATCAGTTCTCAGATAGTACGGGATTGCCTAGGGAAACTAAATGAGGTAGGAAAAAAAAATAAAGTCACTTTACTATGGGTGCCTGGACACGCAGGAGTAGAAGGTAACGAAGAAGCCAATACCTTGGCAAAGAAAGGATCCGGTTCCCCGTTTGTAGGACCGGAGCCTTTTTGCGGTATAGGTAAAAACACTTATACAGCGGAGCTTAAGAAAATGAAAGACGACCTAAGAGCTCGCCTCTGGGACGACCTTCCGGGACTGAGACACTCTAAGATATTCCTTGGAAACTTGAATCCCAAAAAATCTAAAGCTCTAGTAAATTTAAGTAAAACTAAACTAAGAATTATTACAGGGTTTATGACAGGGCACTGCCACCTTCGAGAACATCGCAGGAAAATGCTACTCGAAAAATTCAGTGAATGCAAGTTTTGCGGGGAGGAGGAAGAAACTCTAGAACACCTACTAACCGTATGCGAAGCCGTCGCTACAAGCCGGGCTACACATCTCGGTGACTATGTAGTTTTAGAAGGAGACATACCATCCTTGACACCGTACCAGTTACTAACCCTCATCAAGGCCATAGGACTGGACGAAGTACTATGATTTGAGATCCACATCATATCGGCTTCAGCAGGGAGCACAATAAATCTTTAGGTCGCAGTGCAACAACACCCCAATATTAATCTAATCTAATCTAATCTAATCTGGGCTCCTCACCATCAAACCACTTGATCATATTAATTTAGTTTTAGTTCTGATAGTCAAATAAGAAGCTTGATTGGGCTGAAATCTCGCGGTAGGTATATACAATGTTAGCAAATGACTTATAATTAATAAATGTATTATATTATCAAATATATTTGCTCGGAGTACTATAGTTTGATTTTCCTGATTCTTCGACGAGCAACACAGCCACTCACTCGACTCACTATTATTTTATTCACCTTGGCCCTGTTTTGTTTAGGGTATACACATCTGATATTTTTCAGTAGTTTCGAATTCACATTGGCAGGCTTATGCCGCTGATACTCAGCTACTGTTCAGGTTTGATCCCTCTGACCCTGAGGGAGCTGCAGATCTGGAGAATGATGACTTGGAGGGTATCTTGCAGTATTCTAGGGAGCACAATTTGAAATTTAACTCGAACAAAACTGAAGTTCTTCTGTTTTGTAGGTATATATTTGAATTTCAAAAAGAGAAAGAAATTATGTGAGACCCTTATCACGTCAATTAATAGTTGCTATTATATTGTTTAGTATCTCTTTTCAGATGTTGTAACAAGAAAGAGAGTGAAGTTTGTACAGAACACATGTAGATTTATCTTTGGTCCAAGGAAGAATGATTCGGTGTCAAACAACACTAGGCAACTTGGTTGGCTGAGTTGTGATGATATGTACAAACTGCATGTACATAATGGTAATTTAA